CAAAACAAACTGAAGTAATGGTGCATGCATGTGCATGACCTGTTAAATTGGCCCCCAGGGCCTCTGATGGCACTTTAGTGTGACACCCCCACCCCCCACCACCACCACCCTGCTCCACCCACACACAACCTCAAACTCCCCCTTTTTTTTTTTAACAGCCTGCAGTAAAACTATTTATTTTGTGGTAACAATGTGTTATTAGTTAACCCATCAAACATGTGACTTTGAGGAGGCGTGAGAAAACTGCTCTTTGTTTGGAGGGAGGAGAGTGTTGAGTAATTCAGATCTTTGACAAAATATTAACAGAATCATCCCGGTGCTGTTGACTAGACTCTGTGGACGGCCCGTTTGGATTCACTTTAAACTTTCAAGGCAGCAACTGTTCTCTGTTATTTAACTTTCAATGTAAATACATTTCCTAGACATGTGAAACCTTCTTGAAATAGAAACCCTGTGTAAGTAAACATCAAGTTATCTTCCAGTTTTGTTCAGTGACAGTCAAATATCCACGAGCAGCTCCAAGCAGACTGTTTAGCTCTTCTCTGCTGATGCATTCAAGTGTTCCTGGGAAACCAAAATAGAGCCGGACTAACACATCATGAAGATGCTTCCTGATGCATTATGATCTCTAAACATACATATATATATGTGTGTGTGTGTGTGTGTGTGTGTATGTATGTATATATATATCACAGACACCATATACAGCAATCCCAGTATATCAGTCAGCTGGAGGCTCTCTGTTCATTGCATTAGGACTCATGTAATCACATCTCATACAGCCACCCCTGTATCCACAGTGCTGGAGAATGGTCTGACTGACTGGTCTGACCAGGATGCAGCAATCCTGAAAAATAACGCTGAAGCAATTTATCTGGTGAAACACTTGCACACGGGGAGGTGACCACTGTCAATAAAATAGGTAGTTCATCAAAAAAAGGTTGCCATTTCCAAAAGTGGAAGGGATTTTAAAGTCACAGAAGGTTAAGGGGAGGAATGTGGAAACGACAACCCGTCGTCTACATTCAGTCAGTCAGAATAGCGACCACGTGGTAACCCACTTGGCTGGGTCATCGGGTCACCCGGCATCATAGCGCATCTTAAAGTACCTTATATTTATAACCCTCCGTTAAAGTGCATAAAAACTGAGCAATCTTCTTACATCCCTCAAGTTAGTAACACGGTAAACTTTAGTTGCCCTCGTCATCTTAGTGCTCCACAGGGAGAACAAAAAGAAGCGATGGACAAAGTGATGACTAAAAGCATGGACAGTCTATACAGTGACAAATAAAGGGACACAGAAGTCTACAGTACATCCCACTGACAGTGCAGAGCAGGCAGCGTATGAACGATGATCACGGCTTCAGGATAAACAGATCTAACGTTTCGGTCTTCTCACATGATGAATCGCTCAGTCTATCCTCTTGCTGTCCATGTCAACTGTTTCTTATTACCAATGATGCTCCGTTAAGTGCTGTCAGTAAGCGATGCCTTAATAAGTCATCCTCTCCCTTGGGGGTGACACTTGATTAACAAACGTCTATCTGCGACGACAGAAGGCCAATTAAATCCTACAACTTGCACATTTTAAACAATCTTGATGTATACGCAGCAATACATTTTCTCTTTAAGTTGCCCAAATTCCCATTCCACCACATCAACCACCTTCATTATCCAAAGTCTGGCTCACAACCCACCACCACCAGGATGTGTACACTCTTTGCATGAATCCTCCGAGCGCTGCCAAACATTCTTTGAAGCTGGGGAAGTTGTATCATTTAAGAGCAGCTGTCAGTGGACTGATCCACGTTATACACCCGAGATATCCACTTAATATTTTCCCCTCAGTAGCCCACGCTACTACAGCACGGGTTTTTGAGGGTGCAATCTTTTAAACATGAGGGCGAACAATTCAGACAGCCAAATTTAAGCCCCTGAAGACCTCTTTGAGTCGACTGTATTTGAATTAAAGGCCAATATAAGCAGCAAATTAGACAGAGATGGAGTGCAGTCTATGCATGCAGCACGAGAAAAGGAACCTCAGGAAATTAAAAGCAAAAGGGCATGGAGTGCAGATAAATTTAGTAAAACACATGCTGCACTGTACTACTAACCTAGTTCTGCATTCATCTAAGACTAAATATGGTGCACCTGAGTTGTCTGCGTGAAATACGAAGACTTTGAATAACTGGCTAATTTAAGACACCAAGTGAGACGATTCCGTTGCACATGTATGAGGTGGTGGCGACGATGAAGGCTAAAATCAGTTGCACAATGTCCCGTGATTCCAAGTGTTCTACCCCCCAGCAGGGGCTGGTCCCTGGACCCCACTTTGGGAAACCACGGGTTTACACTATTTGGCAGAGCCTCATTCAATGACAGTACAGCGAGGCACTTGTGTGTTTGCCATAGATAGCATGTTCATTTAATGAGTGAATAATATCCCCCTGCATGTCCAATGAACTGTGGGTTGGGGGCATGGGCCAGGGGCAGGAGGGGGTGATCGGAACACAATAGGAGTGTTAGGGAGTGTGGGAACCAATTCTCCCTGGGACAATAGACACTTCCCAGTGGCCACAGCGTGCCCATTCACTATCAGCTGCTGGGCCGGCGTAGCACGGCGCTGAATATGCACCAGCTCAGCACAATGCTGCTTTCTCCCAAACAAGACCAGACTGTTTCCTATCCCAAAGACAACACAGGGCAGCTCTAGCCTATACACAGCCTCATTCTCACATAAGCAGTCTCTTTCTCACTCACTCCGTGTCTGCATGTCTCTCTCGCTTTCTCTCGCTGTCACACACACCAACAGGAGGGTAGCAACAAGGCCAGGGATTGTGGAGATTGTGGCTGGGGCTGCCACGCCGTAACTAGGCCACTGTTTCTCTCCACCACCAGGGCTGCTGGTCGTCGAGATATTCTGGGCTGAAATGTTATTAGCGTAACCCAGTTTACCCAATACCAGGTGACTGCTGGAAGAGGCGCTCCCCACAGGGACAGACACCGTCAAGGACAATGCACACCGAGGAGGCGGGAAGGAGGAGAGGAGGAGGAAGGGCGGAGAGGAGGAGGAAGGGCGGAGAGGAGGAGGAGGAGGAGGAAGGTGGCGGCACGGCAGGCGAAAGGTGATGAAAGATGCGATTAGCTGCGAAATCAGAGGAATCACCGCCGGACGCTGGCAGATGTGTGTAGCTGAGAGTTGCTGTGTTTGTTGCGTCCGTGCTTGCGTGACCCAGACGCAAACCGGTACCCAACCTTCTCTTTTGTGTGCGTGCCCTCTGGTTGCTGTGGCAACGGAGCCTGAGAACCAGAAGGCGGGGAGGGGCTGAGAAAGAGAGAAGGGCGAGTGACACACAAGCGTGAGAGTTTTTAAATGTCGCCGCTTTGCCACAAACACACACACGCAGACGTGTCTCCATCGCTGCAGGAGGCATCACATTGACTTACGCTCATTTCCTGAGCGATGAGGCCCAACGACGACACGCCTCAGCCTTACCTAAACAACACATTAACTCCAGATTTAACAGCACAACACGAGCGATACGAGCGGTGCACACGGCCCAGACGGAGTGAGCAGATATGATCCTGTGTCAACACTGCATGTAGCGCTGACATATTGACTGGATTAGCAATAAAAGTCAGTAATGGATCAACTATTATTTTATAGCGGCATTTCATTGATCCCTTCGCTCACTCATGACTCATGCACTCACGCTGACTGGGATTTATTAAACTCAGGGTACGCTGCACAAGACTTCCATGAATTTTAGCATTTAAAGTATTCACAGCGTGCACGAAAACAGAGAAATACTTTCTGCAGAAACCAGCATTTGTCACCTGCCACCTGATTCTTTTCCTCAAAGTGCATGTTTTGTAATATTTGAAAATTTAATGCAAGGGAAATAACATATACTGTAATTTTTCATGCTTTTTATTTTATAAAACCAGTTTACAATGTTGTCTAGATTTTAAGGCTACAATGCACACAACGCATCCTGTTTTGCATGTTTTTTGCTGCTATGTAGAATCAATCAAGTGTCTCTTACCGGGTTTAAACTCAGTTGTGCTGTTTTTTATCACCTCCATGTCTACATTACTTTTAAGTTTGCATAGGAAAAGTCACATGCTAGGAGAAATAATGAGAGAGAAAGCCAGTGTGTAGACTTCTACGCTGATGTTGAGCCAAACAATAAACTTCTGGATCTCAAGCACACTGATGAACCACATTAAAAGCCAGCACTCTCTGTGCCCTGGATAATGTGTCGTCCTCCAGCTGAGAAGCATCTGTTTCAGCTGCAAGATGCACAAAGAAACCTGGTTCTCTTTTGCTATTTTAAGCAGTTTATGACTCACTTCATAACTAGTGTGTAAAAAAAACCCACGACACATGAGCACCTTGATATCACATGAGACTGATGGGATGCACCTGAATGCCAGAAGTCCTGAGGTCCAGCGGATCTGTTGTTGTGGAGGAGCTGATTCCTGTGCATGTGTTCATAGAAATGCCATTCACCTGCACTTTGACTGACCTGACCTCTTTGTTGTACGTATTTCTTTTTTCTTTTCCTGGGCTGCATGTCCCTGCAGGCTCCTACAGGCCGGTCAGACTGGAGCTAAAGCAGATCAGACCCTTTAAAACCCTCTTGCTGCTCCGACACGTCTGAGGTGAGGTTTCATGGATATCGGTTCGATGCATCTCTGACTGGCGATGGTTAAAAGATCGACTTACTATAGTAAAGTCATTTTCGCATGTTAGTGTCCGGGTTTTCAGAACATCTGCTATCTGGCGCAGCGGCTGATATTCGCTTTTCTGCAGCTTCTCAACCAGCCAGCACCGACTGACATGATCCTCCGCCTCTTTGCATTCAGATACGCGTTAAGTTCCCCGACCAGCAGATGTTTTATTCGGATTATTTCAACAATCCGAGTGTCATCTGAAGCACAATGGCTGCCATGTCAAGGACTCCCTGCGCGTTTCCTCGCGTTAGCACGTTTCCTACCTGCATGGAATCGGCGCTGATTATTTCTCCCTGAAGCCGTTTTCCGAGCTCGATCGCCAGTTTGGACTTGCCGGTGCCGGTAGCTCCTAAAATTACCACCAAAGACGGGACCATCGCTCTCCGTAAGGCACACTGCACGCTCAGAGTGGACGCCGCCATGATGCTGCCTCCTCGGCAGCCCAGCTGACGGCGCCGCGCATGCGCGTTTCGGATAGAGAATGACAGATGGGTTCTGTTGCCAGGGCAATGGGCAGCCGTTACTGTGGCAACGTGGATTGATGGGGGGATTATGTGGAGTTGTGTGCATGCATATTTGAGTCTATTTAATTGTATTTAGAATCATTTTAATTTTTCAGCCTTTCTGCTGTCAAAAAAAAAAAAAAAAAACACTGACTCCCACAGTTTTACTGTTCAGTCAGTGGATTCACTCCAGTGCAGGTTATTCAGGCAACAAGTCAACATAATTGATTCATCTCCCCTTCATGCTGCATTCGTGCAAGCATCAGCTTCATTTACGATATCTGTGCGATGCTTTACGGAGATAATTTCAGCAGAGTCGGTCGTCTATTTTGTTTCTATGGAAACTGTCAGAGCTCTGCAGGAGTGAGCAAAGATGCTTGTTGCCATGGTAAAGATGCCAGGAGGGGTTACCTTGGAGACTGCTGAAAACAAATAGTGCATGGGGGAAGAGGCAGATCATTCACTCATACAAGTGGTTTTAATGCAAAACAAATGTGTGTATTAAAATAAAAGTGTGACCCAGGTCAGAATGAGACACTGAAGATGATAAAGAGATGGTTTAATCCAAATATTTAGAATATTTATTGCTAGACTTTTTTTTTTTTTTTTTGCATAAGAGACAAAGAGACCAGACAAATCATTTATGATGTCAAACCATGAAATTTATTAATTTTTCTGACTTACTCTTCATACATAGAGGCTTATGAGGTACAGAAAAAAACAAAGTGCTGAGACAAGGCTCCAAAATCACCATCGTTGAAGTAAGTAAGCAACGTCCACTGCTACTATGACTGTGCCACAGCAGAGACCAGTGACCAATACAAGTCAAATAAAAAAATAAAAAATAAAAAAAAAAGTCTGTGCTATCCACTGATGTGGATGCACCATATTGGGGGGTGAAAAAAAATCCAATCAGGGCTTCTGGTGGTCGGTGCTGATTTAATTAGCATTTTTGAGGAAGGAAGAGGAAGAAGGGAAACATTAATGATATCTTTAAGTATTTATTCAACCTAATCCATCGTGAATCCTCTGACGTGTTGCTCTTTTTCTCAGCTCTGAAGTGGCGTCTTGAGGTTATTTTACACATACAGCATGTTATAATAGGGGGCATTCTTTTCAAGCGCGGTCTATGGCCCTATCACAAGAGCTATGGTGCTGCATGGATTTTCCTGAGTGCTTTTAAAGCAGGGCATGCTACTCATCATGATAGAGTCATTTACAGTACTAGATCCAGGGCTACAGTGTTGTCTGTCACATGGCTTGCGGGACAATAGGGAGCACCGGGCTTGCAAAAAAAAAAAAAACAGAGAGAAAGCATTAACATTAAGGTTACTAAAGGCTACACACAGCCAGAAGTTTAATCGGTAGATCCTCTTAAGTCCCCCACCCCCCCCTCTACACCACCAGATCTAAGAGAGTGCTACAGCTACAGTGACTGGATTGAATACAGGAGCGTTCAGGTGCTTCCCGCTCCAGAGAGAGAAAGCAGAGCCGCACACGTACCAATTTTCAGCACACAACCACCAATGAAGCCCTGCCAGCTACAATAAACGAAAACAGTCATTAGCTCACACTGAAACACAACTCTGTAGGAAAATATAGTATAAAAACTTTTGTCATCTCTGACTTGTACAAATAAAGAAACCCCAGAGACAGAAAATTAATGAGCAGTAAAAGAAAACAAGTAGGCTTTGCAAAAAAAACAAAAAAACAACAAAACCATTGTGACAAAGTGGCTAGTGTGATCGATGTTCAAAGTGTTTTATTTTGACTCTTTTTCATAATCATTTTCTTAACAAAAATAGAAGCTTTGAGTTATCTTTGAAAAGCCAGCAAGCTTGGCCCCCGGGTTTAGGACGCGGGGCTCCGAAAGAAAAACTAGGATGAGTATAGTAGACAGCTCTGGTTTTGGTTTGGAAGGGACTGTACAGTAAGAGTCCTATATACATAACATCCAACTGGATAGTCTACATACATTAAAAGGCTTCTAAAGGCATTACATCAACAAAAAAAAAAAAATACAAACATATCAGACAGCAAGATGAAAGAAATATACAGTTGGAACTCAGTGGGCTTCATCTCCAAGCAAAAAAAGATGGCATTTTGGATGTTGCTCGAACGCAGGTTTTAATTTAAGCCATTCTTGAAAGGTTTCTTTTTAGGTATTTAACTGAAGCCGACATTCACCTTTTGGCTGGTCTCCATGGCACAACAATAATAAAGATCTCGGGAAAAGTTTTCAATAGTGTTTTTCACAGATTGTGTTTTCGTGAAAAATCTGGATGAATGTCAAACAATGTCTGCATGGCAACTTATTTTTATTTTCTCCAAATAATGCTACAAAAACAGGCCGTCGCTGTGATCATGACGCCGCTCTCCAAACATTTGTGATGCAAGAAGGAAATACTAAAGTTATGAGTGGCGCCTGCAGGCACAGAAGTTTAAGATTTAACCTCGTCTGTTCCAGATAAGCAGAGCGACACTGTAGCCTTGCAACATTACTCTCGCAGGTCTCAGGCTCGCGTGAAGTTAGAAACTCCCGACTGCTGATGAGGAAAAGGAGCAAAGAAAAGCAAAGGAACAAACAGAGGAGAGGATAGACGTCGTGAGATAATGAGAGAAAGACAAAGAGAAATAAAACAGAGCAGGGAAGAGAGTAGGCGCAACTTGAAATTTACAAGTTGTGTGCCGAGCACTAAGGGGCAGAGGACCGTAAAAGAGATGAACTTTGTAAGGGGGGGAGGCGGGGGTCTACAAAGAAACTTCAGGGGAGACATCACAGCTGTGCAAGCACAACGAGCCCTATCACATTCAAGGAGACCAGTGCAGCAGTTAACAGCACAGTTGAAGCAGTTTATCAAATAAACACTGCTGCATTCACGGCAGGCCTTCCTGTAGCAAGCAACAGTTTGGAATATTTTTCACAAGGGGAGATTGAACAGTTTGACGAACCTATACTGAGTGACCATGGACATGTCAATCTGCCCGAAAGATGCCTCATAACATCAGTCCCTAGCTGGCTGTCCTGATGGCTTGCGGCCTTGTCAATCACTCAGAAGCTAATGTGCAAACCACAAAAATAACAAAACAGAAAAAAATAATAATAATAAATCCACCCGCACTATTCCAACGTGACCAACTCAAAGTGAACATTAGTGTCTTTTCTCCTTCATGTAGTCCCCATTCAGTTCTGTGAGTGTAACGTGTGAGGTGACAGCCCGTCCCGTCGTTCAGGACCGTTTGAGCTGAGCCAGCCTCTGTAGCAGCTGCAGCTGCCGGGCTTTCAGCTGCTTCCTCTCCTGAGCCTTCTGCCTCTCGCTGGCGTGCAGCTGCTGCAGGTACTCCGTGGCTCGGGTCAGGATCGCCACCTTCGGAGTCTTGGGGCAGTCCGCTAGGCCCGGGATCTCGTCCCGTAGTGACAGGAAACGCGAGCGCAGGTCGTTTCGTCGCTTGCGCTCCAGAAAGTTGTGCGCCTTGCGTTTGTCTGTGTCCTCGCAGTCGGACGACTGGGGGCTGGAGAGGTGGGCGAGGGAGTGGGGCTTCGAAGGGGAGCTTTGGGGATGGGAGGAGGAAGAAGAGGATGAGGGGGGAGATGAAGGCGACGCGGAGGAGGTAGGAGACGAGGCGCTGAGGTTAGGCGACTCCGACCTGACTCCCGCCGCCGTCACGTGAGACCTTCTGCTGTCCAAGTTCAAGGGGGCGTGGCCGGGCCGTGGGTGCTGGTAGTGAGAGTTCTGGTGAAGCTGGCTGGCCTGAGTAGAGGCCTCCTGCCGGACCCTCTTGCGAGGCGGCTCGGCCGGCGTCGGCAGAGTGTCCGGGGAGGGGGCAGCGTAGTTGTGCTGCTGTTGGTGGATGGAAATGTGGAAACGCTTCATGCCGGGGTCAAACGGGTCCGCTCGCACCGTTATGGTCACCGGCTTACGGGCGTTGACCAGGCGACGAGGTTTGCGTTGCTGCTTGTGCTCCACTGTCACCACGTCAATCTCCTCATCGTCGTCGTCTTTGTCATCTTCATCATCTGAAAAGAAACAGCGAATAAATTAAATGTTTCAATGACATTTTCTTAAAGACTGAAAATGATTTGAAAAAGTGGCGTTGACATCAGAAGGAAGTGAGCAACCCCACTGGACAGACTCACTGTGGCCTCCTGTCTCCTCCACCAATTACTCACTACTGTAAAAATGAACTTTACACAACCTCTCTCCCTCACACACACACTCACACACACAGTGCAGAACACACACTCTCACTAATGCTCTGAATCATCATTGCATTAGGTCAGCTCCCTGAGTGGAAATTCCCTCTCTTCATTCATGTGGACAGAGTGAGGATGAGAGGGAGAGACAGGTAGGGTTAAAAAGCACTCAGGTGCAAATCGACAATGCTTCAACTTGTTAAAACGAGCCCACTAATATTCAGCACGTTCAAAACCATTTGCTGCTCTATTTACTCGAGTGAAAAACGGGGTGTTAAACATGACGAAAAGGTCTCATCGACTTGATTCCCGCAAACTGACTGGACTCCTGGGAGATTTTCAGCGCTCTTGTAAATTGATACACACTTTTAAAGTAATTGCACTTGTGCAGATTTGACTGCTCAGAATCGCTACACGATGGGGACGGACAAAGAGCTCCGGAGTGAAGGGTGCCTGTCTATTATTCCCCAACAGCATTCATGTGACAAAAGATGACGTCTCATATTACAAGGCACATAGAATAAATTCTCTCAAGTAACCTAATAATGGGCCTTTAATGAAGCTTAAGCGCACGTTTATTTCCTACGATTGCTCATTCTCCCTCCTCTTTGAGCGCATATTATCCCCCGAAATGGTGTGAAACGCTCTCTCCAACTTGTGTCAAAGAATTCTGCGGGCCCAGCCGACCTCGTAAATGGCTAATCCCGCTCTATTCACAGCCCGGGCTGGCTCGGACCAAATCCACCCACTGACACAATTGGCGCCGCAGCCTGTTGAGCGCAGGAATGCAGCAACAAGTTCCCTTTGTGACATTCCACACACCATTATGCATGGTCCAAGCTCAACATCACATGGCAGCCTACATACCAAACTCAATCATATGGGTTCAGGGAGTGGAAAATGAAGAGAGAGAGAAGGGGAAAAAAAAAAATAAGAAGTAGGGTTTGAGTCAGGGAAAATTTAGACTGGCCATAATAACTAAAAGAGGCGTGATTTTTTTTTTTCCCCCACACTCCTCCTTCCCCTCCTTTGCCTCAGTGTTACATAAAGTTCCAATAAGGACTACTCTTTATTGAATTCATGTCAAATCCGCACCAGGGAGCGTGGAGAGGATATTGTTATCATAAGTCAGGCTGGAGGAGCAGGGAGAGGGAGCAGCTGGTCTGCTGGAGCCCTGCCAAGGAGCAGATGTTTCAATGGGCGTGTCGCTCTCTGGGCTTCAAGCATGTGTTGCATGCACCAAGGTAACGCAATGCAGTCATCATGTGCCATGCCAGCCAGTATTGCCATATAGTGCCAAACCAAAGCTTGAATGAATGACAAGGGCACAGCATTTCAGGTCTAATAAAGCATCCAGTCACTATTATTAAAAAGAAAAAAGAAAAAGACACCTTTTGTGGACAGGCAAAGAGAAAATGACAAAGTGCATACCTTTTAGGAAAATTGCAGGAATATGATGGAAATATCGCGAGAAAACCACCTTTGATTGTGATCACTGAGCCAACTTAAATACAACACTCATGCTCCACTGACAGATCTACAACTCAACTCATACACACACACACACACACACAAAACGCCTGAGTTGCATATCCCATGTGCTACTGACCTGATGAGTCTGTGTGTGACTCTGAACCGGAGGACACTTGTTTCTTGCATCCACCGTTTAACGGGAAAGTGAGCACCGCAGCAGGGTCCACGCAGTCCGCCGCCAAGCCGCTCAGGGCCGAGGTGTCGGCAGGGGCTGCACCCTGCACCCTCCCGGGGGATGTGACCGCGGATCCGGCGGCGACTTTTGCAGCCGTCCCGGGACAGGATGCGCAGCGCTCCCCTACTACTCTCTCCAGCTGCTGGCCGGCCGAGAAGCCGCTCCACATGCAGTCCTGGATGATGATGGAGCTCAGGTTCCCGAAGGAGTCGTTGGCTGTGGTCAGTCTGCAGGGCAGGTCTTGCTGCTGCTGCTGCTGCTGCTGTTGCTGCTGTTGCTGCTCGTCCTCCTGCCCCAAGAACTGCGAGACCCACTCCAGCTTATCCCCCAGAGACGGGCACAGCAGCCCGACCCTGGCCGACCCTTCCACCGCCCGGATGGGGGACATGGGCGGGGTCGGCACCAGCTCGAATTTCTTCCAGATGTCCTCGCTGGGCGCCGTGGACTTGAAGAAATCCTCGTCCGGGTCGTGGTCGTCGTAGAAATAATGCTGGTAGTGGTCGAGGTGGTCCATGTCCCAGCTTTCATAACGAGGCGCGGTGGAGCTAATGCCCGGCATGGGGGCTGCAGGCAGCGGGGAGAAATCACTCCCTGTTCCCGGTGTCTGCGGAGACGCACAGAGCCAAGAGCTGTGTCAGAACTGAGCCTCATTCTCACCAAAGAAGAAACACCGCTGTCTGAGGGCTTGATTATGTGTTGGAGCATAATGCAGCTATTTTGGACACATCATAGTAGATTGTTGGTGTAAACAGGAGACCATTCAAGGAAGGAAAAAACGCGAGCAAAAAGGGGGGGCAAGTGATCATCTGAGGTCCTTCCAATTACAGCAGAGTCCTCATAATAAAGGTCACTGCTTGTATAGACACACATATGGGGGGAGCATCTAACGAAGCATCCTGCGCGTAATGCTGCAAGGTTAAAGTTAAACTACTCTGTGTTGTTGCTGAGAAGTTTCGCAACAGTGTTTCATTACATAACACTGTTTTAGTAGTATACTGTGACAGGAGGGGAGGACTGTGCCGGCTGGCTGCTCCAAATCCCATTTAAACACATTAATTGGACAGACAGGTACCCGTCCAGCACTGCCTGCCGCACGAACAGACAGGAGGGAGCCCTATGTAAAGTGCTTTTTCTTTTTTTCTTAGCTCCTCCTCGATCCAAACTCCTTATCAAGCTCAAAGAATTCAGCTGCGACTTAAGAAAAAAAAAAGAAAAGAAGCGCCGATCAGTTAATTAAGCATCAGGCGCGCTGGTGGGGGGAGAAAAAAAACGCTGCAAACTTTACGCGGTTTGATTTGCGATCTGAAACACCCTTTTTTTCTTTTTTTGCTCGCGTGTTAAGAGAAGTTGAATTGAAAAAAAACAGAAAGGAGAGTTTTACCTGGTGTTGAGAGTGAAAAACCTGTCTGCGTCTTCATAGATCCGCCGTGCGCAAAATTTAAGTCTCCATAAAGCAGCAGCAGGCACAAGGATTCCTCCCGAGCGTCAAAAGGCGAGATTTCCCTCCCCGTTTGGTGTCTGTTTCTTTCCCCCTCCTTGTTTTTTTTTTTTTTCTCTCTCCAGGTGATAAACAGTCGCTGAGGGTAAATGAGTCCGTTTGGTCGCGGTCCCACCACTCACAGGGCTGGACTGAGCGCTTTGGCTGTGGTCACTTTCTTTGCAGACTACTGCACTATATGATCCGGGTGGAAGGAGAGTTGGCTGTTATGCATAAAAGGCGGGTCGTAGTAGCAGAGCCACGCCTGCTGTTTAAAGGCGCAGCACACTCAAAAAAAAAACCCCACAGCAGCAGTTATGTGACACTGATTTCATAAGATGACTGCTTTTGCAATGGGCTAATTATGCAAACATAATAAGAAGGTGTGAGAGTGTGAAGCACAGTGTTGCAAATGCATGAGCACCTGTGTGTGCAAATCAGCATAAATAAAAAAAAAGGGGGTTGTAATTTTAAAAAAAAGGAGGCCATCTTCCCCACCGATAAGCAGCTATTGATGCGTGTGTGGTCACAGTAATTTCATGTGCACATATGGCTGCGGTATCTGGTGTCGCTCATGCATCTCGTGTAATCGATATAAAGTCAGTATGGAGGCCACGCTCTGTGTCTCCCCAACAGCTTGCTCTTCTCGCCGCTTCCTTTTCGGAGTGGTGAAAACTGTGCAAACTTCAGGCCCCCACTTGACTCGAACTGGGAAGAGTCCTCTCCCCTCTGAAGTTCGACTCCCCCCCCCCTCTCCAGCAGACAGCGTGAAATCCTCGTCCGTCCACCTCGTCTTCCACCGTCCACCTCAGACACCCACCCTCCTTCCTCAAATCTTCTGTCACTCATCCTCCATTCTTCTCGCTCCACTCCTCTCCCCTCCTCCCCGACCCCCTTGTGCGCTTTTATCCCCCAGTCGCCCCTGATCAAAAAGATCTTGACCCTACATGAAGCGGCGGAGACTTTAGAGGGTTATATCCTCTGTTTCCCAGGAGAGACCCTACAAAGACGCAGAACTAACAGACTGGAGAAACAGAAGCGGCAATCTTTCGGGTTTTTCCCCCCTGCCTGCACCGCTTTCTCTCTCCCTCCTCGACCCGTCCTGGTCCTGATCTCTCTTTCTCTTGCCGCTTTCATCTCGTTCCTCTCTGTCCTCTGCCTTGTTTCATACTTTGAAATGCTTAATCTGCCTCCTCTCTTTGAATTAATCATCAAAAGTGAATGAGTGCAAGAACGAGCTCCTTAAAATGTACAAAGAAATGTCTTTTTAGATGAAATAAGTGAGTGAGTTTAAGGAGTCCCCGAGGCTTTAATCATTTGCATGTACAAAAATTGGCGCTGTCTTATTTAAGGACAACATCAAATTGGTGTGTAAATGTAAATATGATATATGTGATTGGGATTGGAAGGCTCGCGGGGTTATAGTTGGAGTAATTTCCCTGTGGACTAGCCTGAAAAGAGGAGGAGTAACTTTTGATGTGCACTGAAGCTGTGATCTATTTCCCCGCTAGTTTTTTTTCTACCAAAGAAACACTCATACATGGTGCAGACATGCCGCAAACAGCCTCATAGGACTACTGAAAGGTTATTTGTCATGAGGAAGCCTACCAATTAAGGGATATCTTCCAGAATAGGCAAGTTGATAGTGTTGATGTGCACTCTACATATTAATATATAAAACTTCATGCAAAAATGCAAAAAACTACCCTTTAGAAAAATTAGACTCTTCTCACATAAAAAGCATACAAATCAAAGAGAAGTGACTCAGTCCCTGTTAAGGAGGGAGGAGGTCAGGGTCTATGCATGGGTCAGCGAAACATTTGTTTTCAACAAACGTTTGATTTCAACACAAGACACCACTGTTTGTTTTGGGTTTCGTCAGTGGGGCTGCAAGGTTGCCTCACAGCAAGAAGGTTCGCGTCCCGGTGAGGACACCCAGGATCTCTGTGTGTGGAGTTTGCATGTTCTCCCCGTGCAGCGTGGGTTCTCTCCAGGTTCTCCAGCTTTCTCCCACACAGTCCATAAACATGTTGAGGTTAATTGGTGATTCTAAATTGTCCGTAGGTGTGAATGTGAGTGTGCTTGGTTGTCTGTCTCTAAGTGTGGCCCTGCGATAGAGGGTGTCCCCTGCCTTCGCCCTAAGTCAGCTGGGATAGACTCCAGCCCCCCCGCGACCCTAGTGAGAATTAATCGGTGTATAGATAATGGATGGATGCACTGGTCGTCAGCAATGTTTCTTTTAACTGTTACCGTCCAGTAGCTTTAATGTCCTTCTCTGGTCTTGATAAAACCCAAAAAACGAATCCCTGTGTATCAAAGTGACACATTTAGAAGTTTTAACAGTTTCTGCGAGTGTCCACTTGACTACATTACAAAGCGTATAGCGCTAATGCTTGGCAGTAGTGTGAATGCACGAAATACATACACAATCTGCTGTTTGTGTATAGAATGGAGTCCTCCAAGTGGACTCCTGCGGACTCGAAAAGTAATATAATGACAACAACTACATGTGTCCACTAACAATTATAATCAAGGCCTTCCTCCACACTGTTGCTTCCTCTGGACTGTGCAGAAGCCCCTGCCTCTTTTTCCACCCACTCCAATCACTACAGCTCCAGCACACCAGCTCACTTTCAACTCTGCTTTAAACACTGTAAAAACTTCACTACACTATGGCAAGTTGTAAAATTGGATTAATTCAGCCACACGTGCCCAAAGCAGACACTGATTCTGAAGTAAAATAGTGATACAGAAAGCTCCACCCTGCAAATTGACAGGATTAGTTCACAAGGTAAGAAACCAAATCTGTGTTTTGGAGATTGCCAAACTCGGTAAACTGCAGTTTCAGTATGGAAATGCTCTGCCATGGCCTTGCTTATTTCGCTCGTGATGTATCTTACAGACTATATTAAAACACTATATGGAAATGTTAACAAAGTAAAAAACAAACAAACCAAAAAAAAGCCTGAGAAGGGGCTCTTTGAATGCATGTTTATTTTTGTAACCCTGATGACAAAGACTGTCCTTTTCACTTCATCCCCTGACCTTTCTCTAAACCTAAAAATGTTATTGTTGTGCTTAAAGTTAAAAAAATGAGCCTCCCCCCCAAAAAACGTGTCCATGCTGTTTTTCCTTTATCCTGTGTGAATTCCCAAAACATTCCTCCAGGTTGTATCAGAGGGGTAGGGACAAATGATCCATACGGTCATTCAGGTTAGAAGACTTTTTTCCCCTTTTTTTTCTTCAGCAACTTTAATGTAACAAAATTTCAGCCTGAATTCCTGCTGACTCTTGGCAAAAGAAGCTGCATAAATTTCCACAAAATGTTCAGCTCTTGCTTTAGTAGACGGCAGCTTTGATAAATCTTTGCTCCATCATCTGTGACCTCACTGTCACCTGAACTTCAAGCCCGCTTCACTTTTTTTCACCTTCCTAATTCACAGACAAAGTTTAAGCTGGAGCAGCACACAACAACACTACATGTAGTCTTTGATATAACATGTTGTGCATAGAAATGTGTGCTATTTTAGTTTAACTTGGTTGCCTCCAGGGCTGCAGGGTGGCGCAGTTGGTAGCACTGTTGCCTCACAGGAATCTTTCTGTGTGGAGTTTGCATGTTCTCCCCGTGCAGCGTGGGTTCTCTCCGGGTTCTCCGGCTTCCTCCCACACAGTCCAAAAACATGTTGAGGTTAATTGGTGATTCTAAATTGTCCGTAGGTGTGAATGTGAGTGTGCTTGGTTGTCCGTCTCTAAGTGTAGCCCTGTGATAGACTGGTGATCTGTCCAGGTGTCCCCTGCCTTCACCCTAAGTCAGCTGGGATAGGCTCCAGCCCCCCCGCGACCCTAGTGAGGATTAAGCGGTGTATAGATAATGGATGGATGGTTGCTTCCAATCATTAGACTACATTAAATTGGATAGGAGTAATGATTCCCACGAGGCTGCAGTTGCAACAGCAAAGGATATGACATAATTATACAGAATGCAGCAGGTTGCAATAATGATCACACTTATGATGCAAAGAGAAAGAAAAGCAATGTTGTAGAAAGGCATGAATTTAAAAAAGTAAACCTGTGGTATGTATACACATAGATGCAGAAATGTTTTCAGATAAAAGAAAAGACCTTTGTTTTCCTCACGAACCACAACGGTTAAAACAGGGATAATAATATTCACACATCAGGTGTAAAAAGATGATTGATTGAAATGTGGAGAAGCAAAAAAAAAAGGAGATGGGAGCCGGAGAAAAGGAATGATGGTCGGGGGAAGGTAGGTGGACAGAGACGAACACAAGTGTCACCCCCGCCCCCCTTTTCTGGGGTCACCCTTCTTGTCATTTTACCAGCCGCCCCCACGCCTCTCCACCCTGACCTCCCAGACTCATCAATGAACACCTAGTCTGGGATCCACCCATCAGTGTGTTTGTGGCGTCTGGGCGGCCGCAGGTTCGCTTCATGTAATCTGGGAGACCGCAGAGGAAAAGTGACAGCTGCTACCCACTGGATGGTGTTGACCTCCTGCTGACACACACACATACACACACGTTGGTAAGTGAGAGGATTGCCTTTCAGTCCAGATGCTCATTACACTGAGCCATTGCACACTGAGCTGCACACACATGCATGTACACACAGTTTCTTTTTCCTCCGTCAGACCTTCTGCCCCTCTTTTTAAAGGATCGCTTCACCTGCAGCTATTTTGTTCGTCTCTCTCGTGGTGTGCAACCATTGGAGGTAAATAAAAACTTGTTTGCGTTGCTCTCAGTGTAGTTTTTAAAGGCCCAAACAAACTTATTTTCTCCATCTGCTTCTTACAATCCAAAACGGACACACAAAAGTTGTTAACGCAGTTTTGAATATTCCACAGCAGGCCTCACTGAAGTTGTGTTTTCAGTTATGTTAAAATTAACTGAACTTAGAGATTTTTTCAGATTCTTAGTCATCTGTGTTTCCACCACAATCTAAAGACCCACGAAGGTTCGGAAAAGTAGTACGCCGACAAATTAAGAAATGATATCTGTGTTTACATCATTTTCTGCACATGATTGGACAACAAACAGCTCCACCGCAGTAGGTTGTGGTGATGCAGGTGGCTGGACAACAACAGGAGACGCTGCAACAACCATAAGGACATAGGAGATTCAGGTCATCCTGGCGTTGATTGTGGGATGAAGTCATTGAGATAAGAAAAGAGACAAACAGTCGCAGCAAAACAGACTGAAAACACATGAAAAACAAGGCTTAAAGCAAGCAAACAGCTTACAAACAGGCTCAGAAAACAGATTTTTTAGATCAAGTTGCATCCTGTACATAAGAAGAAACTTTACAGATCTTCTCATCTCTAATCAGAGATATGCACACACTACCAGACTGCAAAATTATGGTGCATCACACACAACAGGATACCATCAAGATTATTGTGCCAAAGGGACCAGAGCAGAGCCCCACCTGAGGAAGCAAATAGAAACTAAATGGAGACTGCGGAGCAACAAGGTGCTGTAACACTAACAATACTCTGCAGCGACAACAAAACTAAACAAAATCAGAACGTTAAATGAGTCTTGATGAGAAAAGGGTTGGAGAGATGTGGTCAACACGGTTTCTCTATTCTTCAGTGAAAGTTGTATTATCTGCAGTCAGCCTCAAAGGCTAAAATGTATAGCTTTGCTAAACTGCTCAAGTTGCTTTAGTGTAATGCTTGTAACCACCCAGATTTTAACTCCTAAATATCTAACATTTGATATTATCAGGGTGTTTACTGGTTCCATAAACTTCTCACATTAGTAAATAGTCTGGGCCGGTGACGTGCGGTGAGGTTCATGGCTGGTGAGGCGCTGTCTTCATCTCCTTTGATTGTGGAGAGGGGTAAAACTCGTTAAATCGTCCCAAAACTTCTATAATCAGAGCTGGAAATGAGAGTGACTGTCTGCTGCAAGCGCTCGCCCAATCAGAAGTGTTCAGCATTGGAGCTCCAAAGATGCCGAATTTTTACGAGATATTAAGACCAAATCATGCTTTGAACTTTCCTCATCCGTAAGGGTGCATGTGACCTAAATCTAGTAATTCGCCCAAGTCCATTAGGGTCCACAGATCATCAACATGTGGCTGTACGGACTATCTGCACAAGAGTTCTGACTGTGCATGTGGGGGCAGAAAACAAACAACAGAAGAAAAGTAGATAGAAAAAAAAGCACAAATAGGGCAGAATAACAAAACACAAACTGATAAAAAACAAGAAAACACTTACACATTATACCCTGTTTTGACTGACGTACGCAACACCAGAAAAACAAGTGGTGCTGAAAACAAATGTTTGGTATGAAACTGGTATGACTGATCATTCTCCATCATCCACATCTTTATGAACGTAACAGTAGAATAATGCCAACACTGTTTAAGTCTGATTTTTTGTGCTGTGTTTGTACACTATGCTCGGCACACCTCAGGAATAATCACCCAATCATTGAGACATTGACGCAGTGCTACAACCCAGTCTGTAACCACATGTTATATCCTGCTATGTGTGTTTGCTATGAGGGCAAATGCAGTTTGTGTAGCAGATCAATGTTTACCTGCTGTAATGTGAACAGGCTGCCTGCATATCGGCCTGCACACACAGACACAGAAACCTATGAACTGGCCCTTATCTTCTGAACAGCGGCTGTTTATGGAGAGAATTTATATCCTCAGAACTTAATTTTCCTGTGGTGGAAATGCATTAAATTCTTCCAAAGGTTCCCAGTCCTTGGTTAAACTTCTTGTTGCTATAGCTGGTTGAGCTGGTGTCCCATGTATAGGGGCTGTAGTCCCCAACGCAGCAGTCATGGGTTCGAGTCTCACTCATGACCCTTTGCTGCAGGTCCTTCCCCCATTCTTCTCCCCCCACTTTCCTGTCTCTCTCTCTGTCCTTTCTAATAAGGCCAAAAAATCTCTTTTAAAAACAAAAAAACCCAAAAAAGGCTCTTTCAGTAAAACATGGCTTTTCTCACTGGTTTGATGTGGGAGGGGATGTCCCCGATCTCAATCAATAACAATTCAGAAAAATTTTAATTAATACTTAGTACTACTGATCATGTTTTTAATAACAATATAAATGAATGTTGCCTTATTTTATTTATAGCACTTTTAAAGATAAGGGTTTACAAAGTGTATTGACAGACAAAGCAAAAGCAGTATCAATAGAACAATAGTAAGATAAACAGCAAGGTCGAACTAAGTAAGGCAAGTTTAAGGTGAAATTAGAATAAAGTTAGAACAAGCAGACATAAGATACAAGAACATAAAACACAAAATATGAATGCAAGAAAAGGAACAAAGCAGTAAAAGCCCTAGCAAGCAATACAAAGATATTTTTGTGGATTAATCCCAAACTTTATAATATTTAAAGATGTTTTATTTCAACCTTTCGCTTTTATTTTACTTGAACATGTCCTTTTTTTTGTAGAGCTTCAAAGTATTCTGGAGCCTTGAGTTGTGTGCATTGGATCTTTTCAGTAATGGACAGTAGAACGTCCATCCATCCATTATCTATACACCGCTTCATCCTCACTAGGATCACGGGGAGCTGGAGTCTATCCCAGTTGACTCAGGGTGAAGGCAGGGGACACCCTGGACAGGTCACCAGTCTATCACAGGGCTACACTTAGAGACAGACAACCAAGCACACTCACATTCACACCTACGGACAATTTAGAATCACCAACTAACCTCAACATGTCTTTGGACTGTGTGGGAGGAAGCCGGAGAACCTGGAGAGAACCCACGCTGCACGGGGAGAACATGCAAACTCCACGCAGAGAGATCCCGGGAGTCCTAACCGGGGATCCTTCTTGCTAACCGCAGCCCGAACAGGAGAATGTTGTCAATTTAATTAGGAAATCGAAGCAAAACGTTCAGTAAACCTTCAGCGTTTGCGCCCTTTGACAGAAAACTGCAAGCAGCACACCTTTGACTTCATAATCTGTTTATGTGTCTCCAGGGCGTCCATCATGTTTCCATAACTGCCCCCTATATAGCCGGGTCTGTGTAAAAACAACAGCTGTGTGTAGTCAAATGAGAAATTGATTTTAATCTAATGGCGCTGCAGCTAATGATTAGCAGTTACAGCAAAAAGCATCAAGGTGGCAGGAAATCCATGCAGCCTTATGAGGATACGACGGAATACCAAACGGGCTTTCACATGTAACAAACGCGCTGTCGACGCGATGCAGACAGGTAAATCAACGTTCTGCCTCTATAGTATGCGTGTCTGCATGAGCACATAAAGCAGCCCATCCCAAATTACACACACACACCCATCAGCACTGATTGACAAGCAGTTGTTACTCAGCTGCTCCTCTCCTTTTCTTCAGTGACTTTTATTGCATTCTTGGTAGAAATCAATTCTGGAGGAACAGGCTGTCAGCACAGACTGTACCCTGGAGAGACACACAGAAAGAGAGAGAGAGAGGGGTATAGAGAGAGGGAGTGAGTGTGAAAGGAAGAGGGGTATATATGTGTGTGTCAGAAAGCGAGGGAATAACAAGTGTCTGCAGGAGAAGGAGAAGAAGAAGAAGAAGAGGAGGAGAGGGGGGGAATGCAGGAGGAAGATGCTGTGCAAAATAATGAATTTAGAGGAAGGCGGGAGGGATGTTGACACAAGGGATGGGTGGAAGAGTATTATCCATCAAGGGAGTAAGAAGAGGGGGAAGAGGGTGAGGCAGACGGGTGTGGGGGGGGAGAGAAAATGGAGATTTAGGGAGGTGAGGAGATAGCAGTTCACAGGAACAGACTTGAAGAAAATGATGCAATTACATAACTGATATTTGGCAGGGCAGTGTTTCTGAGCATTCTTGAAGCGTTGCTCACGGTGACACACACACACACACACACACACACACTGACAGACGTACATATGCAAACTCTCACTCACACTCAGTCAACACACACAATCCCACATATATGCATACAAAGCGGAGTAAACAAATAGAAGCAAATAGTAGTCGTCCTCTCCTGATAAATCACCTCCTGTTTTTTTCACGTTTACGTTACATAACTGTTGTCTGGGAAATGATGGAAGCGTGCGCCAGCGTCTCTTTGTGTCATCATCAACCGAGCTGATTGTTTCGAATGTCGGTCATTCTGCTCCGGTGGCTATCGCTGCGTTTTTGCCCTCTTCGTCTCATTATTACAACTTAATATTACATGAAAGTGTTTCCTATACATCATTATGACTTCAGGCTTCTTGGAACTGCAGGAATTATTAATGATGCAATAATAAAGATAAAAGCTGGAACATGTGGGCTGCAACTGGTGATGGTCATAACACGACGTGAACAGACAAGCTCGTGCACTCGAGGTGGAATAGAAAGGTTTGTGTTTACTTGTACGAACCAGCAGCTGGAGTCTCATCCTTAAATTCAGTTTGGTTCAGTTTTTTTTTTTTTTTTTTATTATCCCAGATGGGAAACTTGGCATGCAATCAGGGGCACAAGATTTAAAAAAAAAACAAAAAAACATCACAAATACAAAAACAAATGTGCAAAAACTTAAACTACTAAATGTTTCCTGCGCACGCATTACACAGAACACAACAACACCATGAAGCAATCTTTAAAATACACTCTGCAGATATTGAGCAACATTGATCAGGAGTTGTTTTTCTGTTCACCTGATAAAGGAAACTCTAGTATTTGTTGTGTATTTTTGGTCTCCAATCAGCCCCTGAGGGAAATACCTGCCCCCTTTAGCTGCTAGATGCTCAAAATTGCAATTTGAAACAATGCAAATTAATAAATTGCAATGGCTGCAATTCCAAATATAATATAATATAATCAGGTTTATTGTCATTTTGCTGTACATACACAGTAGTACAGGCAAGATGAGAGAGCGTTTCTTTAGGATCATTTAAGTTGAATGAATGTCTAAATAGACAAGACACTAAACGTATCACTCCCGCTGTCTCCTGAAGGGGCTGCTGCGTCCATGCACGCCGCCATCCGTTGAACATGGTGAATCTCTTCAGGTCCTGGTAGGTCTTCAGGGACACAAAGACACACATGCTGGTGTGACGATGGTGAAGCCGCAGATGCTGCCCAGAGCTAGCTGTCTGTCTGTCCGCCCGCAATAATGTCGATCCCTCCAATCTGTCTGGGATGTTTTCATGGAGCCATGTTTCTGTTATAAAGCAAACACACAGCAGTCTTTCCACTCTGCGGGTTTCTCCCAGCAAACGTAGCTCATCTTTCCTATACGAGGTGTGGCTAATGCTGTGATTTTGTTTCATCTTATTGGAGCAGATTTAAACATTCAGAGGTTATTTATGCTGCCCATTGATCAGTGTACACCATGTGGTCCAGTCTCATTACTGAATAACCACCGAGCCAGTTCAAAATTCAAAAACATTACCTCACAAATCCAACAGCAATCATAAGATCTGTCTGAAAAGTTGCAATTGGATATTTCGTGCAAATCTTTTAGCTCTAATAGTTGTTAACTTTGTCTGTCTGCAGCTTCCATACAGCACACAATGCTTTTTTTGTTTGTTTTTTAAACTTTTGGAGAGAAACAGCTGTCTTATGCTCAATGAAAGAGACATAAAAGTTATAAGAACAATCCATAATGTCTGTCTGGTGAGTTTAGAAGCTTTATTAAGCTGTTGGCAACAGCTGAGTCTATAGTGATCACCTGTGGGCCCATTGCACAACCACTGACAGGTAGATTTTCAGTCCACTGTTAATGTAAAAATATTGCGTAGAGCAGCTTTAAGTTGTAGAAATGAATTAGAAGATGAGTAAAGTGAGCTTATGGTAAAATGCACCAAACTAAATACAGCATCTCTCTGTCTCTGGACAGTTTTTGGTTCGTTGCATGAATCCCGCCTTGTTCTCTCTGCAGCACTTCACACTGTTCAGCAGTGAGACATCTAGTGGTGAGAACTACCACTCTGACTGCGCACCGGCCTTGAAGCTGAAAATGCAGAGAGACGGCTGTTCTGTTTTGTCTGCACGTTTTTCTTTTTTGTCTGACATTCCGCTTCACCATAAGTCAGATTCTGTGGCTCTGTGTTTGGTACGTGATGTACAAAATAAGGGTAGCGCTAATCACAGGAGGGCAAATGTGTCAAGGCAGCAACACAGAAAATGAAATATTTCTGTACGTACGTTGCAGTGAGGTTCATTCATCCAAGAATTTGCAGACAAAGAAAGTATGCGTATGTGTGTTCCCGGCAGCCCTGAATGCCTTTTGACAAGAATGTAGATCTCACTTGACTTTTGAATGCGGTGAAGCTGTGGCCTTGACAAAGCCGATAGGAACAGCGTATGCAGCTACACAGCGACATCGTGGCACTTGATGTAGAGCAGATGTCACAACAACAGCTTGGACAAAAAAAAAAAACAACATATCATGAACACTATAAAATTCAATAATTAATGTCTATTGTTTTTTTTTTTCTCAAATTCCCCTGTGCGTTGGTAAGGTGCTTTGAATCTTACAGGTTTTTACAAGTTATTCAAATCCAAGGATGTCCTTGAAACTTTTTGTCAGCATTAAAATGTACATCGTTCAGCAGCATCACATTCATTCTGTCCATCAATCCATCAACTATAGGCCCAATTTTCGTCTCCAACCCCCTCTTACACACTTTTTCATTATAAGTTTGTGAGGACTCAAAATGGTACAAAGTTGGACACACGATTGTGACAGGATCGGAAACCTGTGCAGACGCTTCATAGCAGACTTCCTCCTTTCACCATACTTTCTTGGTTTGGGTACATACCTCCATGTTTACATCCCAGTCCTCATGCACTTGACGCTGGACAGTGTGACACCCAAAGCCGTCACAGACTTGACAGGAACGTGCTCCAAAGTCTGTAGATTGGAAATGGACTCACCTGTGTGGCTTTGGAGGGAGGCTGGATTCTATCCCACCTGGGATTGGGCGAGAGGCTTGGACACTCTGGACAAGTTGCCGTGCATGCTCACACAGCTGCTGCCAGTTTGGAATCATCACCGGTCCTACCATGCATGCATTTGGACTGCTGAAGGAAGCCACCTGAGCAAAACCTTCACAGACAAAAGCTGCAGATTTGAATGCTGAAGCTTATTCTAGTTATGAGGGGACACAACAGCACCACGCCGCCACCTTCTCCCTGTTGCTCATGTTTGCATTTGTGAACTCTGCATCTCCACTGACCTGCATGTGTTTGGAATAAAATCCATTCGCATCCCTCTTCCTGTGCAGTGACAAGTGATCTATAGAACGGGGCAAATGCTGACATGAAATGTGGAAGGAGACTCCTTGAAACAAACCAACAGAGAGTTACTGCCAACGCTCTGCAGCTCCATGCAGCATTTTTTTTTTTTTGCACAATTTTCTCTCATAGTTTTGGTTTGTGTCACTGATATTTGTACTTTTATGGCCGAAGCAAGCATCTTTTATTATTTAGCAGAAAGAAAAAAAATAAGCTCTAATAAACCTGTTGTGCACATACCTCCCCAGAACCAGCTGGTGAGCATTTAGCAGCTAAAAAGCCAGATACTTTCCCTCGGAGTTGGTGTTCAGTCATATCCAGAGGAGTGGACGTGGGGGCTTACATTTGCCATGTTGCCATAAGCGCCACACCAAACTTTGCTCCATATCAGCTGGATGTGTAACTAGGCAACTGCTGATACATACTTCACATCACCTGTATACGGCAACAATACATCAGCGTTTACAACCTTTTGCAGAGCTTCACGGGATGGAAATGTATTTTTGGCTCCTCAAGAAGGTGGGAAGCGTTCAGGGTTCCACGGAGAGCTAAGTAACTAAACTTATTAGTCAAAACTAGTGTGATTCGCCAAAGCAGCTGGAGGATGCAGATGGTAAACAGACTTGGCCTTTGTTGGTGAGGCACGATACAGAATTTCTAGCATGTGTACATAATTAAAAATGAAAAAAAACAGCGATATAGTAACACTCAAGCCAAAAAGGGCAAATCTGTGGCATCTCAGTCTTAATCTTTGGATCTCAGGTAATAAATATTGGAGCTTTTTAACAAAAAAAAAAAGTAAAAACCTCCTGCAGCTTTATATGAAAGATGAGGGTGTTAAATGTTCCAGACTGCTGAATGCCGGACCTGAGCTGGTCTTCTAGCCTAGAGGCAGGAGAGGCAGGGATGTGTGGTAATCTACAGATGGACGCCCAGACACAGATGGGTGCCTGCATGCACACACACACACACACACACACACACAAAGGGCCCTGCAGAGAGATCAGAACACAGAGTGTGACTCTGGCTTGTCAACAGTAAAGACTGATAGACGGAGGCATCTGTGTTGAGAATGGACCAAGTTGAGTGCAGGAAGGAGAGCTCTGTGCATTGTCATTTTAAATCACTGTGTTGGCACAGCTTTGACAGACGCCATTTCTTACTCAGAGGAGCTAACAATGCTGCTAAAACAATAACGGCAAACTTTATTTGTGTAGCCTTAACAACGATACACAGTGTTTTACAGTGAGATAAAGACTAAAAAACCTATATCTGTTTTCTTTTTTTTTAATCACAAATGGTCCAACTACAAACACAACCGAGCAAGACGAGCAGAGATGAAAGGAACCAGGAGAAACCACCTGGCCTCATAATTATCCCTAATTAAGATTAATTGCCATTTGGAGGGCTAGGGTAGTTCCTATTGGCCCTGTGGGTGTAATTTCCCGCACAAGGATGATTCAAAGCAAAACAACACTGTCCACACTGATCTCCTCAGTAGTTAGCTTTGTCTCATAGGACAGCGCCTAATTTATTTCAGTGTAGTGGTACATTAATCTCACTACTACTTAAGACCATTTAGTCAGCAGCCCCCTGTTGGAAACATGTTTGCAGAGTGATTGTACGGTAAGCAGTCACCAAGTAGCATGACTTGTCTGTTTAAAGCTGCACTAATCAATATTTTTAAATTATCAACTGATCACATGACTGCTTGTGTGTGAAAGGCTTTACTCAGCAATTCCCCCTGAGCTGTACAGACCGTTTTAACCCCCTCGGGCATTTTAATATTGACGTCATTGGGGATTTACTTACTTTTGGAGCCAGCCTTGAGTGGCCGCTAGAGGAACTGCCGTTTTTGGTATTTTTTCTGCTTGGTAGAGGTCAAAACTGAGCTCACGTTGGACAACATCGTGCTTATGTTCACCAGGAAGCGAGACACATGACTCTAAATGGATGCTGACTCAACCTTGTGGTAGCTGGATGTGTACAGTATCTGTTTCTTAACAAATTTGCCAAACGTTTAAAGCTACAGTAGGCAGAACGTCAATAATCATTTTGTGGCTTCTTCTGTTCAGATGCTGCTCTCCTGAATGCATTGATTATTCTACAGTGCAGACGCACACACAGACAGCTGTGGACAGCCACGGATGTGCAGCTGCAGTTCATTCCTCCCAATAAGACTGAACAACATCAGCGTCACTGGCTGATGTTAACCAAGCGGACAAAATTAACGCCTGGTCGTAATTCACTTTTGCACAGCAAATTTGCACAATCTGTTTTCTTTTTCAGTGTAAATATTTTTTGTCATTCAATAGTACATTTTTGTCATTTTGTGTATATACTGATTTTTTTTTTTAACTTAATTATTGTTATTTCCTTGTACTTTGTTTCTATAGTTTTTGGATGCTGCTGTGGCATGTGAATTTCCCCCAATGGGGGATCAATAAAAATAATTCTATTCTATTCTATTCTAGTACTTTATTCGTCAACAGGAGCTCACTTGCAAGAGTTGTATCTATATATTCTGTGCATGACCGCAGAACATATGCTCGACTGCTTTTGAAGCAAAGTTGCCCCTGCCACAAGTATTGGGCTGTGGAGTGGTTTGTATGGACTTTCGCAGACTTGGGGAGACAAAGAAATTTATGTCATGCTCACCCCAGTGGACTACGAGGTCTGTCAGAAAAGTTCTAGGATTGGTGTCACAAAAGATATATTCAAAACCCAAACTACAAGTTTTCCCCTTCAGACGATCAACCAGAACGTCTACAAAGAGATCCTGCGGCGTTTGCTTTGTTCAGTGCACGAGAAGAGGTGAGAGTTGTGGCAGGACAAGTCGTGGCTGCTTCACCATGACAACGCTCCTGCTCACAATATCCTGAGCATCCCACAGTTCCTGGCTGAGAAGAACATCGCCGTGCTGGAGCAAGCTCCCTACTCACCTGATCTGGCTCCGTGGGATTTTTTCCTCTTCCCCAAGCTCAAGGGGGTCAACAAGGAGACCTGTTTAGAAGACGTGGATGATGGACCTGCAGAGGATCCCTGAAGAATCCTTCCAGGAGTGCATGGCAGGAAAGTGTGTTAGATTCCAGGGGGGATTACTTTGAAGGGGAAAACTCGTAGTTTGTAGTTTGGATTTTAAATATATCTTTTGCGACACCAGTCCTGAAACCTTTCTGACACACCTCGTATTGTGTACTTGCAGACATGTAAAGTAGAACACTGACCTCACTCATTGTCATCATATTCTTTGTTGTCATTGTAAACTGCCTCACCTGCTTTGACATTTTGTAAAGCCTTAAAACACAGAAGTGCAAAAGTCTAGTTTCCTCTCAGACCACTTAAATTACAATACGCTGAGAGGTATGTAGGGGATTTTTTTTTTTGCTGACTGTTGCCCAAAAAAAATACTGCCTACTCTAGCTTTAAGTATATGATTAAATGACTCAGGTTTAACTCTGCAGACATTATCATCATCTGGGTTATTTTCTCAGTGTGAAAGCTTCTAGCAGAGCATGAGACACACAACAGATAAAGTTGTCCTCTTTGTGCAAAAGAAGCGAGGCACCTGTTGGTAAACTCCATAAAAACTCCTGGATGTTCCTGCTGCGGTTGTCATAATGTGTCTCCGCTGGTGCCACAGAGATGGTTTAAAACTGATGACTAACCTATCTGGTGTACTTTTCTCAAACATGAAACAATCCAGAGAAGAAGGCAAAGTGGATACCGCGCTCTCACTCTCTGTTATTAAGTATGATCGTGTTCCCTGGAAGTGATGACTCTTGTGCCGACACGTTTCAAGTATGCAAGTGAAGCATTACTGCAGCAAAGATGGCATTGAGGTTTTCAGACAGCGGAGGACGACGGAGCACCTCGAATCAAAAATCCAATCTCTTGCACAGAGGAACCAGAGGAAAATCCAATTTTCTTTTTGTGTAATGGCAGGTGATCAGTGAGAGGAGAACACTTATCTCCTCTTCCTCCCAGACTAAATAACAGTGATGCGAGTCGGATGATGCTCCGCAAGTTAGACGGAGAAGACGTGCAGACGGAGAGAACAGTGCGATGTTGAAATAGTTGTATATATGTGCCAAAAAAATGTGGCAGCATTACTCCTGATAAAACCCACCAAGCTTTCAGTGATGACCCCGAGGGATTGTGAGAGTTTCTCTTTTATTGTCCAGCATTTGACAGAAGCTGTCTTCCAAATGACACACTGAGCGTTCGGCACCAACACACAATCTGCTGTTTATATTCATTGGGGGCTGTTAGCTTGGGTCCTCGCCTCGCTACAAAGAGTAGCTGCTTGCCTTTCACCCCTGACAAACTCCTTAACTCCTCCCTCCAAAAGAAACACCCAGCAATTGTCTCTCCCCATTCCTGCTGAGGAAGACACAATGGTTAATGTTAACAATACCTCCTACAGCTCCTCCTGAAGTGGAGGCAGGCAGCCGCTGTGTGTTTGCGTGAATGTGATTGTGTCTTTTTTCTTATTGTGTGCGCAGCATATGGCCTCCTGACATCACAGGCAGAGGGTCAGTGACTAAAGGAATTCAAGTCATTCTGGGAATCTCCCTCTCTCCCTTTCTCTTGAACAAATTTACTCACAAAGCTCTCATGTGTTATAAGTGCAAAGACATATGGCCACACACACACACACACATAAACACATATTTGTCTAAAAATCTCTACACACTTGCTGAATTCACACATAATGCATTTACCACCTGTTTGATACAACCCATTCATTTTGATTTCTGAACTGTCTGGATTTGATGCACTGCGTCTTTCCACTCGCTCAGCTTGTGCAGTTTGCATCATCAGTGGCAGAAACTAGCTAAATGCTTTTTTTTAATATCTCAAAACTAAACCTGCACTAACTGATTTCTTGGCAAGTCAAATTTAGATGAAACAAGTTGAAACAGCAAACATGTTGCCACACAGTTCCTCTCCAAACATTAATTGAACCCCTAAAAACGAATCCCTTTGGATCACAGTTACATATTTAAAGTCGTTTCCATGAAAGTAATTCCTTCCTGTCTTCAAATGGCTGAGACGTAGCTCTACTCTGTCGTTTTCTCTCGACTGTGAGGCTCTGTTAAGTCCCAGCTTCTCTCTTCACCCTCCAGCTCCTCTGTGACTCTGCTCAAACCCAGAAAAACTACTCTAAATATTGGAGTAATTCAGCCATACACATTAGAGCTGTAACGCGATTAAGAAGAGGAATAACGATACAGAAAGTTTTTTTTTAGGTTACAGATGAAACTCTGTCTCAGTCTGAATCTGTACTGTTGAAATTTACACTCAGTGTGGAAATACTCGACCCCATCATACAGCCACGTTTAAAACTTAACCTACTTCATTTTAGATCTTTAACAAATCTTTCGAAGCAACTTCAGCGTTCATTTCGGGGTTTTGATTCTGCTCTACTCCTCAATGCTCTATTTTGTTCTCGACCAAAGTAAGAAAAAGATTCAACAGATTTTTTTTCTGTACGCTTTTTTCTGCTGGAAATAAAATGTAATCTGGGCTTTTAGAACATTTTCACAGGTAAGAACTGCGTGTTTCATGGGACTGATGGGGCTGGAATATTGAAATCTTCTAAAACTTTATACTCGGTCAGATTACACAGCTGTGATCCATCTTAATAGATTGAATCAGATATATTATAGTGCTGCTTAAAAGATAAAATAACCCACTTATATATTATAAACACGATCGTGTGTATACTTTTATACACTAATAGGGGGTAAATGATTTTTTCCAATCCCTGTTCATAGGACAGAAACAAAGGATTTCAGATCTCCTAGTCAGAGATAACATGAAAACCATTTTTACTTTACAAATAACTGGCAGCACCAAAGCATGACTCCTAGCTGCATCTACTAAAGTGTGGATTTTTACACCCTTAACAGAGACACGCAGAGAAGAAAACTGGCCAGATGTAATCAATGGGGGAGCATCTTGTTTCATCTTAAGTGGGGAGGGAGGGATTTACTGAATAATACACAGTAGCGCTATTGTAATGCTACTATCTATGGGGGAGGGGACGAGAGGTAAAGCTGGGGGTGGGATGAAGATAGAAAAATGCAAATGTTTCTTTAATCTTGGCCTGTTGTAAGTCTATGAAAAACAAAAGAAAGGAGGGAGCGAAGAGCCCAGAAAGAGGAGCAGCAGGGGGTCAAAAGAGAGTGTAGAAAGAGGAGACACCAAAAGTGTGTGGGGGGGTTAAATATGATAGAGGTACTGGGTTTGAGTAAAGAGATGCTGTCTGTGGGAGAGAACTCATCAGACCCCAGGGAGAGGCTCTGATGGTGGGCTTGCGGCCTCTCAGGTGGCGGCCTCTTGCCTCTGGGGCTCTGGGTGGGCTTCCATGTGTCAGTCCTGGCTAGTGGCAGATGTCTCTCTCTCTGAAACAGCAAAAAAAAAAAAAAGCCACTGATCAGCAGATGATACTGTAACAGAGCAGGAGGGGATGGACAGAACGAGGGAGGAAGGGAAGTATATTAAAAGACTTCCCAAGAAAAAGTGTGATGCAGGATTTTTTTTTTGTCCTCTGCTGCACACTGCAATGTGTATCTTTGCCCCCTGGTGCCGTCTCTCTCCCCTCCACTCCCCTTCCTCGCAAGATGCAGCAACCATGATGAGAATGTGTTGCTGACATGAATAGATGGTGACGATCACAGACTGTCTACGTGCGTGTGTCCTACTCATAGCAGTAAATCCATCTGTACTCAGGCTGTTATTATCCAATCTGTTCCTGGGTGTATTTCATCCGTCTTGACACATTCTTTAAGAGTGGATGGATGGGGGAGAGAACCGGCCCTCACAGGTGGGTTGTGCCATGATGGCTAGTTCCGTGCATTTGTCTGTTCATGTGCAATTTTTTTTTTTTAATGTTTGTAATTGTACAGGTCATGCAGCTATAGCGTGTCCAGCTGTGTGTGTGTAACTGTCTGCTTGCATGCTCATGCCTTGCGTCTGACTGTGGCGATGCAGCATCCCCCAGGGAAGCTGATCCTCAGATCGAGCCTGTCAATCATCAAGATTGATCAGCCCCGCGCCCCTCCCTCTCTCATTCCAATCCGATCCCCCCTCGCCCTCTCCTCCCACTCCAAGCCCCCTGGTGATTAATCACTCAGCCGGTCAGACAGGTAGCAGTGACATCATCCAATACTTCCCCCTCCAGCCTGTTTAAAGAGACACACTGAAGCTTGGTGGTCAACCAAGTGATGAAACGAGATCAGACAAAATCATCCGCGGGGATCTTGTTTAGATTTCCCTACATTAGATATAATAGATATAAGAGTGTAACAGTGGTTACGAGAAAATCATTTGCTTTGGAAATGACTTGAATGCCAGACAAGTGAGAGCTCATTTGTGTAGCATCATCAGCATTTTGCATGCATTCTTTATTCAGTCATGAATGCCAAATGAACCTAACCTAGAAGGTAAGTGAACAAAGCAGAACAGTCACAGTTCACACAGTGTCATGGTTACGGCAGCCTTCAGGGGTGTAACTGATATTTTTGAGGAAGTGTAGCTACAATAATCAACACAGCAGCCCTGTGGAAACAGGGATGTAGCGGTCAGCGAGTGCACAGAGGTCAGGTCATCTGCATTTGTACAGGGAATTTTAGAGGATCAGTGAACTGACATGAAGTCTAAAATAATTTGTATTACATTATCTACTATATTGATATGCATACAGTTTCTAAGCTGAAAGTGCCTCATACAATAGAGCTGACAAACACAGCTTGAACATCTGTCACACTGCCTCACCTCTTGGTTGTTGCTGCAGCTGTCTGTAGTGGGATGTGCAGATCGATAGCGAAATATCGATACTTCTATTCTAGGATCGATTCTAATATAAAAAGATTGATATCTAAAATAATGTGTATTTTATCCTGAGAAACAGTAGAATGTAAATACACCATCACCACTATCCAGTCTGAATAAATACTACAGTGTTGATGGGAACCGCTTCTCCTTCCACCTGCCACTTTACGCGGTAGCTACGGCTCTATAAATGCCAGACTGACGAGCAGAAGAAAAGTGTAAGACACACTTCTGTCACTGAGTCCGTTGGCGGCGGCAGGAAACATCCAGGTACAGAGAGAGTGTAGCTATGGCGACGTGCACAACTGACTGCGGGAACGTGATTCGTGTTTGACTTCAGTTTCTGTTCTGACGTTCAAACAACAGGACTTTGTTCAAACTCTGAAGTTCAATCTAAAATGACAATACATAAATATGGTTATCAAGTAAATAATGTGACGAATAAATGCCGCAAGCACATGAAAATCAGGCCTGCAAGTTTTGAGCCGCACATCTGTAATTATTCTATTAAAAAAACAAAAACCCTGTGATGCTGAAATGTCTATTTTCCTGCCAATACAGTGTATTTTAGTAACACTTGTGTGTCCATTTAAAATAATTTACTCCATAAGAAACCAACCTTGCCACATGTTTGCCTGTGATGTTCACTGACCCGGTCTCATTTGTTTTGACTGACAGCTAACAGATTATTGACTCATTATACATTTATTATTGCTTTTATTTATGTAATTATGTAAGTAAGTCATATTGTGTAACATGTTGATTCCTCCTCTACAGTAGCTTGTGTAGTCTGAGAGGCTGCACGCATAACTGAATAACATTCAGCAGGAGGCGGCGTAGCTCAATCAGTTTTTCCTGTATAGCTCGGAGATGATTATCAAAAGAGACGCCTATTTCTGTTTTCTGAACACATTTAAGGTGAAATATATGATTTTAAAAGTTCAGTTACTGCTAATGAGCTAGCCACAATAAAAATCTGTTTTGTTTGTTTTTTTGCAGAGCGGCTGGGGGACATCATTGATATGAATATAAAGAAAGTGCTCCCTGATTGGCTGGTTAATGATGATGTGAGGAGGGATATTGGTTAGTGTTAGGTTAGGACTGTCAGAACTGGCCAGTCAGAGGTCAGGCTGTTCCTACCCTGTAAATCAAACATTCATGTCCATCCTATCTCACGTTTCCCTTCCAGCAGCATCGCTGTTGTGGCAGTTTCATGTCACTGAGCTGCCTCTCCCTGCAGACAGACTAAAACTCCACTGTCTTCTATCAACCGTACTCGGCGATCGTCATAAGCAGATGCTATTGTTGTCCTTGTTGTGCTCTGCAGCCTCTGTGACCTTCACGTAGCAGCACATGCACCAGTTCTCCACCTGCTGCAGGCTGTGGTTGGAGTGGTGCTCCAGCTCACAGCAGATGTCTCAGAGAGCAGAATAAGGGCTGCTGTCGCCAGATGAAAGACAGAGGAGTCAAACTGTGTGACACATCACTCTCTGGAGAGCACAGGCACAGGCTTCCAGGACCGTCACAGCAGCGATCTGGTCAGAACTTTAAAAAATAAAATACTTACAATCCAATTCAATTCAATTCAGTTCAATTCAATTCAATTCAAATAACTTTATTTATCGCCTCACGGCAATTCAAAAGCTCACTGAGTATTTCATATAAAGACATTAAAAAATTAAATAATATAACATAATAACAAGAAAAATACAAAATAAAATGTAAAAAAAGAAGCAAAATAAACAATATAATTACATATATAACCTGTAAGCTTTTGTACATAGTAAGTATTGCTATTGGTATCAGCATCATGGGAACAAGCCTGGGCAACTAAGATGCTTCACATATGACTGGGAAAATGAAATATCATCAATTGCATTATTTATTTTATTTTTATTTATATCTTGCACCCTCAGCCTGGCATATATGAGGCAAGAAAGGTGTCTCTGCTCTTGGACAACAAATATGAAACTATTCATAAAGCATTGCGGGTGACACCTTTTGTAAATATTCCCGGTGAGAGATCAATAAAATTTTGTCATATTTTATCTTAAATATCTAAAACATGAATGACCAGGATTGTAATGCCACGCATGAACCTGCTGCAGATACTGAATATCAATATTTTTTCCAGGTGCACGTCAGATTAATTTGCGGTATCACTGTATGCAAATATTGGTGGAACAGCAACGACAAGTCGAATTCATCAGGAGCAACCTACAGCTATCTCACAGCCTTGATGTGTCCCTTTAACTCTCCAGCTCTGTTCAGTAATAAATGCAATGTTTCAACTCAAGGACCAGGAAAAGGAATTCTCTCTGAGACGTGCGAGCTTCAAGGTCCAGTGAGGGAAGAGGTCTGTTGATATTATCGCTGTACACGAGAACCCCGTGTCCTGTTCAACCAAACCACTTAAGATTAAAAAATAGAGATTACTGGATTCTGTTGGATATGATTGCTAACCTCTGCACAAACTCAATGCTGCCGCTACTGTTTGTGGTAGAATTGTTTTGCCTGGAATATAAGTAATGATTGTTCAGTAAAGGTCAGTGTCCCGGTGGCTTCTGTAACCCGTCACCTGCTGCTTTCAGTTCATACCATCTGCTCGGTGCTGTCCACAATATCATTCAGCATTTAACCTTTGTGCAAAATGAACTGTGTCTAAACTGCAGATGAAACAAACATTTCCTTGAAAAACTGCATTACATAAAATGGCCACAACA